ACCATCAAAAATGCGTGGCTGAGGCGAACAAACCGGAAGAACGCTGGCGCTGGCAGCATTCGCATCGGACTGACGGCTGGTCAGGCATTTTGGCTTGGATTGGGGAGCAAGCTCATTGCTTCCACAGTTTGTTATCCGCTGACTCGTGTGAAGCAGATGTGCCAAGCACAGACAAAGCGATCGAAGCACCGGCAAGAGTGCCAAAAAAGAGATGTGGCTGCAGAACCCCTCAACATGTTCGAGATGGCGATGAAAGTTTACAGAGCAGATGGATTGCGAGGTTTCGTGTACGGCATTGAAGGGCAAGTCTTCAATGCTTCTTTGAAAGCAGCCTTAAACAGAATGGTCAAAGAGCGCATTCAAGTGCTTGTTTTTTTCCTTCTGTTCCCAAGCAGATTTCGCAAGATGCGAGAAGCTGCTAGACTAGAAGCCGAGGCATAGAGGCATAGAGTAAATGTATTAGGGTGTATTAGGCGCCGGTTTGGAGGTCCGGACGACGCCTCCGGAACAGAAGTGGGGAAGCAGCAGGCAGAAAACGTTGTTCTTGGCAGCAGAGTTGCCACGTCGTAGCTCACTGCTTGCATAGCTTTGCGCATCGGCCTTGTGTGTAGATCTCTTGCTCGTCGCGATCAATGGAGAGACTTTCGGGCTCAGCACACAACCCTCGATGACTGACATGACTTCAACCTGTGCCCGGCACAGAAACTCGTTGGCAAGAGCCCCGGGGCCCCTGAAGGCAGAGTAAAGTGGCCGCTGTTGTCAGACACCACCCCTGATGCGTGACTGCCCTTTCGTATTTATAAACAGCATATATGTAGTCTTTATTGGTTTAGTGCGAGCCGGAGCCACGTCAAGTGGATAGGCATTGGCTACCAGTGGTGCAGGTGCAAAACTCCAGTCTATTCGATTTAGATTTCGTACTCTGCCAAAGTCCATGTCTGCGAACTCAGCAGATGCGCTTCGAAAGTCGCGGGTTGCAAGGGGCTCGACAACACTCCCGATCCGAGTGCAAACGGAATCCTGGGGTTGGCACGTAGAGCCCGTTGGCCAATACTTGCGTCGGTGGAATTGAGTTGTCTAAGTGGACGGTGACTGCACAGTCACCACACCGACTTGGATTACCTGAACATGTTTTTGTTTGCGCTTGGCCCAAAGACGACAACATGCTGTAGGGAGGGAGGCTCCGCCGGAAGGCATCAGAAACATGGCCTCCAGCAAGGCAACGGCTTGGGTGTGGCAAGTGACATCCGCATGAGACAATATCACTTCAGATCGCTCTGCGCAATGCTGTTTCTCTAGGCAGCCCCATTTTTTTCGGCATTAACTGTGGTTGGCAAGCCTAACTTTCCCCAATTCCCAATCAAAGCCGTGGTTGCCTGTGCCCTTGCTAAAAGGGGCACAGAGCCACTCAAAGACGAAATAGCATCGACACGCGGTTGCTTTTGTCAGGCCTGGCTCCAGCAAGAGGCCAGGCGGCAGGGAGTTCGTGGGTCTACATTCGCATCTCGGTCGGATCCGGAGCGGATGCGGCAAGACGAGACTAAATGACACTTAGCTCGTTTTGTAGTCACCATCTGCTTGCTACTTATGCGAGAGGTGGAGCAGTGAACAGGGAGGCCCGGATACCTCCACTTTTGGCAATACGCCCAATTCGTGATAGGTGCTCAGTGCGCTTGCCACAAGTTGTCGGCGCCAAATTAGTGCATGCCTCGTTTTCCTGGCGCTGGAATCGCCGTGCCGATTTGGTGTTCAGACGGAAGCTCGGCAGGGTCACAGAGGCGTGACTTGTGACCCCTGCCAGCTGGAAGTGACGATCGACGTGCCATGCTGCCGCAGCTGCAGCATGCTTGTCATCCGCAAAGGTCTTTGGCTTGCATTCAACTGGGGTGATGCGATCGAACCATTCGCTTGGTTTACATGCATGAAGGAAGAGCTGACAACAGAGCACAAGACTTCTCATATGCGTCGCAAGAACAACGTGAAGCCACGGAGCAAGCTTAGCAACGTGTTGCTTGATCATCGCTAATTTGTCCATGTCTTGCGGAAGCCATCCGCCCTTCTCAATGAACTGCTGGGTGATTGCTATCATTACTTGTGCCCTTCCCGAGACACAGGCTGACTCGTGGCAGCAGCTTTCTGCTAGCGGGTCACCCCCTGGGCTTGCCAACCACGCCCTTGTTGGGATCCCCAGTGAGGGCACGCTGTATGTGTTCGGAGGAAGTTCTGCTTCTGGCGAGGAAAATGCTGTTTGGAAATTCTCTAACACGAGTGAGGGGTCAGGATCGTGGCAGCAACTTTCCCCAAGTGGATCTGTCCCCTCTCCGCGACAATCATTTGGTACAGCCTGGAGTCTGGATGACAGACGGATGTATATCTTTGGAGGGAGAGATGAATCCAACAATCTCTTGAATGATTTGTATTTGTTTACGGACAGCCCAGGGGATTCATGGCAGCAGCTATTCCCGACGGGTTCTCCACCTAGTGCGCGAAAAAATCCAGCTGCAGTGTGAGACCCAGACACGAGCAAGATGTATATATTCGGGGGCGACGAGGGTGTAGCACTGAATGACTTGCATTGCTACGACAGTGGGGACAACTCGTGGCAAGAGCTCTTGCCAAGTGGCGCTGTACCCAGCAAGCGCAGTGCCCATGCGGCGGTTTGGGACCCCAACGAAAAGAAGATGTATGTGTTCGGGGGCGGTGACGGCACCGTAACGATGAATGACTTGCACAGCTACAACAGCCAAAGTAACACGTGGGAACAGCTGTCTCCGAGTGGCACTCCGCCAAGTGCACGCCGCTCTATGGCAGCAGACTGGAGCCCTAGTCAGCGTCGAATGTACGTGATCGGTGGTCGGATTTCGTGGGGCCATTCGTCCAGCAACTACAGGAACGATGTTCATTTCTACGACAGTCAGGCTAATCTCTGGCAGGAGGCGAGTCCCAGCGGCTCGCTACCCAGCAGTCGTGCTTTCTTTCGTGGTTTCTGGGTGTCAGACCAGAGCCGAATGTACGTAGTAGGTGGAATGCAAAGCGATCGCGCCCGTCTGAGTGATGTGTATGAGCTTACCATATCTTCGTCTCTGCCCACAACGACTGGAACATGGACTGTCTCCACGACTGTGTCCACAACAGCATCCTCGTCCACCTCCTCCTCCTCTTCCACCAGCACAAGTAGTTCCTCCAGCTTGACAGGCACCTCGATGACTGCAACACAGACTGTTTCCACGACTGTGTCCACGACACTTTTCGCTGACTCGTGGCAGCAGCTTTCGACAAGCGGGTCACCCTCTGGGCTTGTTAACCATGCCCTTGTTGGGATCCCCGGTGAGGGCACGCTGTACGTGTTTGGCGGAAATTCTGATGCTGGTCGGGCAAACTTTGTGTGGAAGTTCTCTGACACCGGTGGAGGGTCAGGATCGTGGCAGCAACTTTCCCCAAGTGGATCTGTCCCCTCTCCGCGAGCATCATTTGGTACAGCATGGAGTCTGGATGACAGACGGATGTATATCTTTGGAGGAATAGATAGGTCCGGTGATTACTTGAATGACTTGTATTTCTTTACGGACAGCCCAGGGCATTCATGGCAGCAGCTATTCCCGACAGGTTCTCCACCTGGCGCGCGAACTTTTCCAGCTGCAGTGTGGGATGCAGAAACGAGAAAGATGTACATATTTGGGGGTTGGGACAAGACAGCGAAAAATGACTTGCATTGCTACAGCAGTGGGGACAACTCGTGGCAAGAGCTCTCGCCAAGTGGCCCTGTACCCAGCAAGCGCGCTTCCCATGCGGGGGTTTGGGACCCCAGCGAAAGGAAGATGTATGTGTTCGGGGGCGGTGACGGCACCATAATAATGAATGACTTGCACAGCTACAGCAGCCAAAGCAACACGTGGGCCCAGCTGTCTCCGAGTGGCGCTCCGCCAAGTGCACGCCGCGGTATGGCCGCAGACTGGAGCCCCAGTCACAGTCGAATGTACGTGATTGGAGGTCGGATTTCGTGGTCGGGTTCGTCCACCAGCAGCAACTACAGGAACGATGTTCATTTCTATGACAGTCAGGCTAATCTCTGGCAGGAGGTGAGTCCCAGCGGCTCGCTACCCAGCAGTCGTGCTTTCTTTCGTGGTTTCTGGGTTTCAGGCCAGAGCCGAATGTACATAGTAGGTGGACTGCAAAATGATCGCGCCCGTCTGAGTGATGTGTACGAGCTCACCATATCTTCGCCTCTGCCTGCACCGACGGGAACATGGACTGTCTCCACGACTGTGTCCACAACAGTATCGACGTCCACCTCCTCCGCTTCCATCAGCACAAGTAGCTCCTCCAGCTTCGCAAGCATCTCGATGACAGCACCGACTGAATCCACGACTGTGTCCACAACTGTATCTACGTCCACCGCCTCCACTTCCATGATGACTTCAACGCCAACTGTTTCCACGACTGTGTCCACAACAGCATCCTCGTCCACCTCCTCCTCTTCCATCAGCACAAGTATTTCCTCCAGCTTAACAAGCACCTCGATGACTGCAACACAGACTGTTTCTACAACAGTATCTACGTCAACGTTCTCCTTTTCCATCAGCACAAGTAGCTCCTCCAGCTTGACAAGCACCTCGATGACAGCAACGCGAAGTCTTTTTACGAGTGAGTCCACGACTACGTCTACAACATTGCTGACATTGACCACGAGTAGCACTTGGATCGTATCGTGGGCATCTACAAGTGCCACCGCAGTTGCCAGCAAGGTTGCGGCTATTACCATCGGGCTGCAGCGTGACACGGATGCTCTGGTGAGTTGCTCAACGTAACTTAAAAGTCGCTGCTCAACTTTGAGTAGCTCCACCTTCAAAGGCTCGTGCCCGTTGGTGGCACGTAGGGCGAAGCTGCAATCTTGCTCCCCTGCCGCCCCTGCCACCCCTGCCACCATTGCAACATGCCAGTCCTGACACCTGGTCTTGCATGTGCTGGTTCAGTTCAGTGATGGTTGCTGAGGTCAACTGATGGACTCTAACGACTCAGTGGTATCTGCAACAACGCCTTTGGGTATCATGGCAGTTGTGAAGCCACAGCCCCAGACCCCAGATGCGTGCTTCGTGCAAAGGAACTTCGTGCCCAAAGGCCATAGATGCCAGTATGTAGCTGCCAGGCTGCCTCCCGCAGCGAACGCCAGTTTTCTGGATGTTGTCGTGGACAACAACCCGGCCGCTGCCGCACTGCCCGCAGAGGCGCAAGGGGCAGGGTGCAGTGGCTACCAAGCGGCAGCCTTGGCCCTGTGCCCAGGTTTTGCAAGATGGCACAGCGCTGGTGTTGACGACCTTTGATGCAGGCATCGAGGATGGCTTCTTTGGGCTTGGGCAGAAGATCGGGTCGGCAGAAGGACGACCTTTCAAAGCTGCAGCATCAGCCGTGGATGTCTCCATCGTCGACGTACAGAGTCAGAATGTCCAGCACATGCAGCTCACGGACAAGCCCATCTACGTGCGAGTCACACAGGTGCCGCCTGAGAGCAACTGGGTTTGTGCCTTCCTGGATGAAGATGGTAACTGGTCTACCGAAGGCGTGCGGCTGGCAACAGCGGAGGAGTTGACAGAGGTCTTCTCCGGGTCAGACTCTTCCGGCACATGGTGTGCCACGACGCACCTTTCCATCTTTTCGGCCTTCGTCGACATCCTGCTGGATTGCACGTGGCTCGGTCGCAGCTTGAGTCCGGCAGCGCCCTCAACAGTCGATCATCATTGCCTGTGACACTGAGGAATGCCAACATGCTGACTGAGGATGGCCTGAAAGAGATACTAGAGCGAGAGGGCTGGTGGGCGCGACCACCGGGCCTGGCGCTTTGGATCCTGCTCAGCAGCTTGCTGCTGCTCATCGCCTTTGGCTGCATCACAGACATGAGGGTGCATGACTCTGGGCTTTGGCGGGATGAGTACTTCCTCACAGATCTGCCCCCAAAGTCCCGTTGCTGGGGTTTGTGTGGTGCACCTGAGAACCACTCTGATGAAGCGAGAACTAAAGAGCAAGAGGGGCCCAAGTTGACCTCCCAGCGGAGCTTTCAGGGAAAGGAGCCGAACGGGGCCAAATTCACATCCCAGCGAAGCTTTCTTGGGGCGCAGGGGAGTTTTCTCTCGGCTTTGCAGGGCCAGACTGCGGCCTTCCAAGTGCATCAAAAGCTGCTAAAGGCTGCCAAGCCAACGTTGGCCAGCAGATTTTCAGAGCGCTTCCTATGCCAAAGTATATTGTGGGAAGTGGCCCGCAGGTGCAGACTGCACAGCGGGTCCCTCGAGATGCACGTCTGGGGTCAGAGGGGATGGGTTCAGGGCAGCGTCGCGACACAGAAGTCCACAAAGCTGAAGGAGATGGTCATGACACTGGATGAGCTCTTGCCAGAAGCTTTCCTAGCCGTGCAGGCGTCTCGAATTCGCCCTTTTTGGACGGCTCTCTTAGCGGCGCAGCCGATCTACGAGCTCAGCCTCTGCGATCTTCACATGACTGCGGCCAAACGGGCCAAGATCGAAATGGATTGCATTGTGGGATCCTTGTCCTTTGTCGCCTTGTTCTTCTCGGTAGATGGCACAGCAGTGGCCGCGAGGAGTCCTTCAGAATGCCCCATTGAGCAGGGAACGTTTCTGTGGTACACTTTTGTTGCCATGTTCTCCGTGCTCATCAGTTTTGTCCCACGGAGCCTGGAGTGCTACCTTGCTCGACGCAGCTTTGTCCAAGAGAGTCGGGCAATTCCTCGACCCTGGCAACTCTGGATGAGGCGCGGGAAGAATCTTGGCTTCTGGGTCTTCAGCACGATCCTCTCGTTCCTCTATCTTCTCGTGATCACCGCCTTCCTGGCCAATTTGTCTGAGGCGCTCTAGGAAGTAGGTCCTTAAAGCTATAGTTCCTCAAGCTCGCAACATCCAACATCTCGCAAGCATGAAACGGTGGAGTGCAGTGAGGCAGATGAGGGGAAGTGGATGTTCAGCTTTGGCGTGGTGATTTTGCGCAAGATGATCATTGTGCCAGTCTTGGCGTGCTTGGTGTCCGGCATTGGCACAGCTTTGGCCAGTGGCCTGGGCTCGCGCTCGTCGCCGGCCTTGCCGCCCAAGAAGTTTGGACTGGATCTCTCTCTGCTCAGCAATGGCGAGGTTGCGAACGAGGTTGCGCCTTCTGAGACCGCAGTCACAGAAACGTGGACGGAGAAAGTGCAAGAGCTGGCCGGCCGAGGCCTGACAGTTCGTCAGCTCTTGGAATTCTATGCAATGCTGGGGGATGAGGTCATGCAGCACTTCTCCCCAGAGGAATCCACGACCCACGACGTTGTTCGTCAGGCCATCATCCCACTCTCCCGGCAGATCAGAGGAAGGCGCTGCTTTGTGGTAGTTGTGGAGCACAGCGTGGATGTCATCGAGCCTGTTTTGGAGGTGTCAGTGCTAAGGGGAGGCGAGCCGAGGGGTGCTTCGTGGAAACCCACCTGGAAGGAAGCTTTCCTGGTGGAGGATCTGTGCCTCGAAGACAGCTTGATCTTCCGCGTGCTTGACCCTAAGCCTTTCTCCGTGACCCTGCCCGCCACGGATGTCTGGCAGGGCTTCAAGGGAATACTGGGCAACAGGAAGCTGCAGGTGGTCTTGAAACTTTGCCAAAGTCGTAGCCATTCTTCGATCTGTCAGCCCTTTTTTCTAGGAGAGAACGCTGGCTTTTGCCCAATTGGAGGTCTCCGTGGCTGCAGTGCGTGATTCTGCCCACAAGGTCCGTGGGGTCGGGGCTCATCATCCCCATGCCTCAGTGCCACTTTAAACAAACAAAGTAAATAAAGTATAGCGCGAAGGCCTAGCCAACTGTCTGTTCAGGTTCGGCACGTCATACCTTCATGGGCTTTATGTACGAGGTTGTGAGCTCCTCTGGGAGTCCCACCATTGGGTGCCCAAATGCCCTAAACCTCAGAGGTGATGGTAGTTTAGCCAGGCAGGGTTTAGGGTTTCGGGTTTAGGGTTCATAGTGCCAGCAGTATCGGGCTAGCTTTGGGATTTCTTCAAGTCTGCAATGCGCAGGTTGGGAACGGCTCTTGCGTGGTGGACCCATCAGATGTCTCTCTTCGAGGTGCGGCCGCTGAGATTCGTCGTTGTGTCTCGACGTCTTTTGTGCCATAAAGCCCTGTGAACCCTGACTCTTATCCATTCTGAACAGCATTTTTGACTCTCGAAAGTTCTCATCTCTGCCCGAGGTTCCTCTCACTCTGGCTCTTCCATTGCGGAGAAAGTCGAGATTCATTCTTGCAGATCTGGAAGCGACATGCTACGGTTTCCCGAGTTCAATCCAGACGTGAGCCTGCCGGAGCTCGATGCAATCGATGGATGCAGCCAAGAAGCACAAGATGGATTCGCCTACGCGTCCACAGTGAACAACGGCTTACCTTGCATGCCCTTGAAGATGGTGACGCACAGCTGGCGAAACAAGTTCTGCTTTCTCCTCGCAGCCATCCTAGCCGATGCTTTGAACCGTGAGAAGTATGATGAAATCGCGAGGCTCCTTGCAGAACGTCAACTGGGCAAATTGGTCCAGGACCTGTTCAGAGCAGGGAAGCTGGATGTTGCCTACTGGGTTTGTGCCTTCTCAGTGAATCAGCATACAGGAATTTGTGCCACGCCGCCACCCACAGACTCCACAGATTATACGATCACTCCTTGTCCCTGTAGCACACCGAAACACTTCGTTGGAGATCTCAGCCCAACTCGGCTACATTCAGCGCCGGTGATTAGGGTGGGTTAGAGCTGAAGAGCTCAGATCGGAGTTACTGGGCAACCCTCAGAGGAGATGAACAAGTTCGATGACATGATGGCTTACCTGAAGACCTACCACCGACAGCATGGCCAGGCATCAATCGGGTGCATTCGATGCTTGTGGGGGGTTGCACGTGTGGGTGAGGGGGGGCACGGAGGAGGGACGGATCTGAGGGCTCCTGAGGCGCTTGTGGCCAGTTGCCGCTCCCATGCGCCCTGCGCAGAAACCATGATGCAACCACGAGGGAGAACTAGCCACTGGTGAAGTCACTAGCTAGTGAAGTCACAAGTGTCATCACTTTGCAGTGTGGTCGGTTGAGGTTGCTGTGGCTCTGGCACGTTACCAACCGGAGGTGAAAGCACGCTGTAGCAGCCAACATGTTGCAACGCCGACGACACGTCCTTGTGTGAGTCCGGGAACAAAGGTTGTGACGAGCTTTAGACTCTAGGCCCCTACATGGAGCATTCCCTCCAGTCTCTGTTTGCGATTTTGCAATGCCTCCCTGCACTATGCGTTCTGAAGGCTCGACTGGAGCAAGTGGTAGCCCTGGAGAAGGACTTTGCATTACTCACAAGGGTATGGTGCGTTGCAGCTTAGTTTGCATTTAGCCCTTCTGTGCTGGACTGCCAGACCTTAGGTCGTGTGCAGCCTTTCCTTGGGCACCACAAGCGTGTCTTGAGGAGCAGACTTTACTCTCTGAGTAAGGATCAATCACTGCCTCTTCTGTTTTGCTGACAGAATAAGGCAGAGCTCGTCGAAGCCCACGAGCTGCACTTGCAACAGGCTTATGGCTCTGCTTGTCGGGAACTAGGAAGATTTTTGATACGGAGCGACAGGGACCTTCTGACCCAAATCGTAGGTCTTAGGCCCAGTGTCTAAGACTGTTGCAGGCTGTGAAGATGCACTCCTCGGCCTCCCGGGATCATTGCCTGGATCGCCTCGTGCACCTGGATGTTTCAAACGCCGAAGCACGTCCTGGTTAGGGCCTCTCCGTGCATTTCGGGCCACTACGCGGGCTCCGAGCTTCAGGGTCCACTGCCAGAGAAGGAGCTTGTTCAGATTCAGATGGTTCCCACTTGACTTAGCTCCTTCCTCCATGGCAGCAAAATGCCCACCCCTTTGCCCTCCCCCTCACCCACATTCGTTCTCTGAATCATGATCGTCATGATGGAGATCTGCCATTCATTGTCGCTGTTGCGCCTGGGGTGGCGATCATGTGCCGGTTCGTTGTCATTGCTCTGAATCATGTCCCCAACTCATGATGTCTTCGCTCATAGCGAGCAAGGTTTGTGGCTGTCCCCCACGAAAACCGCAATGGAGGTCTCTCCCTTTGTCATCCATATCCTGTCATACCCTCCTCCCTCCCCCCAAAGAGTTGACATGCTAGTGGCTGAAATCTCAGAATCAATTTCTGATTGCCCAAATAACCGTAATGTTACGCTTAGAACCTGAGATGACGGATGACAGAGCGGGCTGCCCCCTACATCCCCTGCCACATATTCTTGACAATTGCACAAGCAAGGAAGCTTCATTTCCCGCTGACAAGGACAGGGCTTTCTCTGGGTAGTTGTAGCCACACAGGCTTTTCAACATTAGGTCATTAGGATCCGCTTGTGTGACCTCAAAGCATTGGGCTCCTATGGTACCAGGACCCCAGCAAGTATCAACAGCTTGATGTACCCGCATTGCAGTGACGTATCTCTCTTGGATCCCGGGCCGTTGATTCCAGAGACACTTCTTCACGAGTTCATTGTTGGTGTCCAAGCATCTGCGATGATTCCTTCGATGCCCTGCCGCAGCCATCCGAAGGGATGTGCAAACCCAAGTCATGCAAACTCCATGGGGAAAGCGCCGATGGCTAAATACTATCTAGAAGCTCCAACAACGCTGAAATCTCAAACCCCCCGAGAAGCCCATGGTCCTAAACCCTAGGCCCTAAACCCTAACGAGGATCGGCATTGAGGATGGTCTTTGTTTGGGCTCTTTGCCCCTTGAGTCGTATCAATGATTGCTACTAGCCGTACAATGAATGTGTTGGTAGAACCTCTTCGGAGCGAAGAACGCCGCCTAACGCTTTTGTGTCACACCCTGTAGGGAGTAGGACACACGACAAACCGAGGTTGGTTTCGTTCTACGTTCGAGTCAAAATGTCCACTAGCTATTTCTTCCTGTGCTGCCATGGTTACCACCGCCTAAATTCCTGCCAAGTACCTGTGGATTAGCATGGCCTCTCAGTCACCCGACCCCGGTCAACAGCACCAACACCTAAATTAAGCATTCAAGATGGGAAGAGCTCCCTACTCCGGGGCAGAACCCCAAGAGGAAGCATTTTAAGTTCTCCACTTCGAAGACCAGGCGTCTCCTCGAGAGAGCCTTTTTGAGGATCGTGCAAACTGCGCTGTTATGGAGGCTGCATGAGGGGCTGCTACACTAATCATAAACCCTGCATCATGCAGGGCCTTTCCAGTGAGGAGCTGGTGCTGAGCAAGATCACGGACGTGGATGCTTTCAACGACGACCTTCAGAAGCCTCTTGCCTTGCGAGCCGAAGAAACCCGAAATCCGCCAAGAGGTTGGGACCCATGATCTTCCAAAACAAAAGGGACTCTAAACTCGGAGCCCCAATCCTGAAAGCCAAACAAAATCCATCCTAACCTACCGCGAACAGTTTGTTCAACAAACCGAGGCCGTTGGTGAAGAAGCCTTCCCCTAAACCTTGGCGGTTCAGGGGTAGATAGAATTAGGGTTATAAGTACACTAATGAAGGTTATAATGCAGGTTACCTTACTGCAAGGCTCATGTTGCACCGCCTGGACGGGTTTCTGAACGCAAACCAAGCGAAATCCTGTGCGACCTTGCTGGACGAAGTCCTGCTTGCAGTAGTTAATGTGGCCATATAGGCCTCCGTTCACACCAGCTCGTGATGCAGGTGTTCACTCGCCAGAGATGCGGTGACACTCTACAATGTTTTGGGCTCCCTTAACCGCTTTGGAAGTGTCATATTCGCCACTTGGTGTGCTTTGAAAAGGCCTTGCTTTCTCCATCTCTCTTCTACACTTCAGCCGGAGAATCATCCGGCTCCTTTTCTGTGTTTTGCACAAAATTCTGTCGCATCTGTGCTTCAGAGGTGGTCCGTAGAGGCCGCGCGGCGTTGCTTCGCATTTGCACGTTCTTGTCCGCGCCGGAGGAAAACACAGACTGAGTTGTGGCAGAGGGCAGGGCAGATGAGTAGGCGTAAAAAACAAAATAAAGCATGATGCAGAATGATGCATAGGCGTACAGATTCTTTCCGTTTCTCTTGCATTAAGAACATGATAGACAGCCTAGAGGCGGGGTTCCTAGGCTATTGGAGATGGCACATAGACGGATCTCGCATTTGTGGTCACCTCCCGGTCTGCAGTGCCGCAGATGCAGACAATCACAGCGTCCACCTCTTTCGTGGGATACATCGTTTACAGCATTGCAGACTTCCCTCCCAGCAATGTCCAAAGTGAGACAACGGCCACTGCATCGGAGCCATGCTTGCGGCCATTGGGGCAGCACTTCTATGCATGCTGCCCTAGAAATCGTTTGTGCAAGGCAGAAAGATGTTCTCTAGTCATAAATGAGCACCAGCATCATACCCAGGATGCCGGTTGTGACAGTCAAGTATTTTGCTGTCAAGCACTGACCGAACAATCCACCAGCAAGCATTCAGTTCCAAGTTCCGACCCCTTGTAGGTCGGAGTCGAGCCGGCCAGCGATCTCGCCTCAGGAGTCGAAACAGTGCGAGACTCAGAACGTATCATGCCTGAGTGAAAGATGGAGGTGCCGGCGACAGTTGAGGTGAAAGCAGGCGGTGCATGGCTACTGTACTTCTGTAGTAGTGCAGATATGCCGATGTTGTCGAGTCTCGGGTTCATGTTGATGGAGCTTCGTCCAGCATTGTGGCGAGTCATCCTCTCTTCACGATACAGAATTCGAGGCACGTATCGTTCATGCAAGTGTCCAGCAACAGGCTACATTGGGACCCCATGAACAAGCCAACTCAGCAGGTAGAGTCAGAGTGGCGAGAACTTCGGGCCCCCCCCCCCCCCCCNNACGGTTTAGGGGTTAAGGGTTCAGGGTTTAGAGTAAATTGACTTGTTGTGTGATCCCCCGCAAAGGGGTTTGAGTAAATTGACTTATGAATCCCCCCACAAGGGGTTGAGTAGGTTGCCTTGTTGATCCCCCGCGAAGGGTTTGAGTAGATTGACTTGTTGATCCCCCGCAAAGGGGGTTGAGTAAATTGACTGGTTGATCCTTGACTTGTTGATCCCACGGGAAGGGGTCTGAGTAAATTGAGGGTTTAGGGTTTAGGCTTTTCTCATTATGATGTTTGTTCTCTTGTTGTTGTGGTCGTCGTTGTTGCTGTTGCTGTTACTGCTGTTACAGTTGTCGTTGTCGTTGTTGTGTTGTCGCCGCTGTCGTCCTTATCCTTGTTGTTTTTGTTCTTGTTATTGTTATTGTTGTTGTTGTTGTCGTTGTCGTTGTCGTTTTCGTCGTCGTCGTCGTGGTCGTGGTTGTCGTAGTCGTCGTCGTTCTTGTTGTGGTTGTGGTTTTGTTGTTGTTGGTGGTGGTGGCTGTGTTTGTTGTTACTCTTCTTACTTTTATGAGGGTTTAGGGTTTAGAGTTTTAGGGTTTAACCTTAAACCCCACGGTTAAACCCTAAACCCCAAGCCTTTTAAACCCTAAACCCGTAAACCCAAAGCCCTAAAATCAGGGTTTAGGGTTAGGGTTTAGGCTATATGCGGCTGTGGGTACAGTGCGCAAACCTGAGCCCTAATCACAACCGTATTTTTGTGCGGCTGTGGGTACAGTGCGCAAACCTGAGCCCTAGTCACAACCTTATTTTTGTGCGGCTGTGGGTACAGTGCGCAAACCCGAGCCTTAATCGCAATCCTGTCCTATATATGCGGCTGTGGGTACAGTGCACAAACCTGAGCCCTAATCATAACCTTTATTTGTTGCGGCTGTGGGTACAGTGCGCAAACCCGAGCCTTACTCGCAATCCTGTCCTATATGCGGCTGTGGGTACAGTGCGCAAACCTGAGCCCTAATCATAGCCTTTATTTGTTGCGGCTGTGGGTACAGTGCGCAAACCCGAGCCTTAATCGCAATCCTGTCCTATATATGCGGCTGTGGGTACAGTGCGCAAACCTGAGCCCTAATCATAACCTTTATTTGTTGCGGCTGTGGGTACAGTGCGCAAACCCGAGCCCGAATCGCAACCTTATTTTTGTGCGGCTGTGGGTACAGTGCGCAAACCCGAGCCCTAATCGCAACCTTATTTTGTGCGGCTGCTGTGGGTACAGTGCGC